CTCAGGCGCTGGGCTCCGGGCGGGCTCCGGGAGGATGAAGCAGGTAGGGCAGGCAGGGAGGGCAACGCGAGCCGGGAGGAGCCCGCGGGGCTGGAGAGGCCTAGAGGAGGAGGGGATGCGGGGACCCTGCAGCAGGAGGGTGGGGAAGGCCGCGCATCCCGGAGGCGACTCCCGGAACCCACCCACCGAGGTGTGCAGAGAACCCCACCACCGCCATGCAGGCCGGCTGGGGTGTGCAGGGCGGCAGGTGGGCCTGCCATCCATCAGCCCCGTGTTTCTCCAGGCCCTGGTGGACGACACGGAGGACGTGTCCCTGGACTTCGGCAACGAAGAGGAGCTGGCCTTCAGGAAAGCCAAGATCAGGTCTGTCGGGTCGTGGCTTTCGGCCAGCCGTTCCTAACGTTGCACGTTCATTCATTTATGCACTGATTTTTCAAGATGTACTGAGCTCACCCTATATGCCTGCAGAGAGCACAGTCCCTGACCTGCTGGAGGCTGGATCCGGATACTAGAGAGGGCACAGCAAACACTGAACAGGCAAATAAGGTAGTGATGGAGTGAGAGAGTTAGGAAGAGAATTAACAGGGTGTCAGAAGAGAAAAGCCTCTGAGGAGGTGACTTTTGAACTGAGACCTGAGTGGTGAGCCATCAGAGGCTCTCCAGGAAGAGGGTTCCATGCTGAGGAAACAGAAAGTGCAAAGGCCCTGAGGCTCTTTGGGAAGGGTAGAGAAAGGCCACTGTGGCTACAGGGCAGTGTGGGAGGGAATTGGGATGGCAGAGGGCTGGACAGGTGGAAAAAGGCTTCAGTGTTTGTTCTAGTCTCTGCTTGGCCAGATGGACTTATCCTAGGTCAGGTCACATGCCTGCCTGAGACCTTCTGTAGCCCATGAGGCAGTAAGACTGAGAAAAATGGGCTGTGGTATAGCTTCATGGCAGATTGCTTGCCCAGTATCCACAAGGTCCTGGGTTTCATCCCCAGAATGGCAAAAACCAGGGAAGAGGAAATGACCCTGTGACTTGTGAGCATGGCTGCCCACTGCCTGAGCACCTGCCACATCCAGAAACTCCCACGGCTCAAACATGCTCACCTGGCTTTGCCCTCCTCTCCTTCCAGTTTTCGACACCAGCAGGTGTGGCCTGGACTGCAGGCTGGAGGCTGGGCTGTAGGGACAGAAGGAAGCAGGGAGCATGTGCTGGGAGGCTGGGCCAGGGCTGCAGCAGGGATGACAGGGAGAAGGGACCCTGGATTGGTGGCGTCAAGACGTGGGGTGGGGACGGAGGTAGTTGGAAGTGACGCTCTGGCTTCCAGCTCAGTGACTGAGGGGGTGAAGGGGCAATTATGGGGCAAAGACAAAGTGATCAAAAGATAGAGTGAATGTTGAGATTTTTAAAAATTTGTTACAGTCCAAGACACACTGCCATTAACCCTCCCCAAAGACTTCCCTTCACTTCGAACATACTCATCCCCTCATTTTGCCACTTTGTGAAGCAGGCCTGGGAAGCCTGTTTTCGTGAGTGTGTTTACCAGGTACGCTCAGCAATATGGTGAATGCTGCTGCCCAGTGCCATACAGTGGAAGGGCGGGCTTTACATTACAGAGTGTCCTTATTCCCCTGTTCACCAGATCTGGCACTGTGCAACTTCTGAATCTTCCCCATAGTCAAAATGACCATGAAATGCTTTACATCCGGGACATCAAGGCAGCCATGACAGTGCAACTAGAGACACGAACGAGGACTTCCAGAACTGCTTCAGAAAGTGGCAAGAGCGACGGGATGAGTGTGTTCCAGGTGAGGGGGAGGCTCTGGAGGAAGAATAATGGCAGTGTATTTTTTACTGTAATGATTTTTTACAACTTAAACATTCACTGTTTAAGTTTTTCCATCAGATCTCATTTTGAGCTCAGAGTCGTCTTTGCTGGGTTGTGGTGGGACACTCTGGTAGCCAGGTTAAGTGAGCAGCTGGAAGGAGGGGCCAGGAGCTCCAGGAGTCATCAGTAGAGATCCAAAGGCAGGAACTCCTTTGTGTTTGAGAGCTGCTGCTCCGAGAGTCCTCTGGTGTGCTGGATGCTGATTCCTCAGTCCCACTCTGGACTTATTTAGCCAGATCCACAGGGGTTGTGCCTGGGATCGTGAACTTATTGTAGCACCCTTAGTTGATTCTGATGCATAGGAAATCCTGAGAATAAACGAACTTACCCGTACAGTGGGACAGAAAAGGGAGTTCGTAACTGAGCTCTCTTTGGGAGCCCTTCGAAAACTGTTGTCTAAGTTTCATATACTGTACCATTTTAGGAAGAGAAGACAAACTTTAATTGGATTATCAAGTGGGTTCATGATACAAAAAAAGTTCAGAATCACCAGTCTAGTGTGGGAATCCTCAACAAAATGAATTCCTCAACAAAATGAATCACAGGCTAATTTTGCAAAGAGGTGGGATGGAGGAGGTCCTATAACCCATCTGGGATATTGAGTCCCTTCTTCCCTTACCACCTGGCAGCTTGGATTTTGGATATCTTGCCCTGCCTTGGTTAACCTGTCTGTGATGTGGACACATTTGTACCAGCCTGATCTTGCCACGTGACACGTGACAGCCCCACGATTTACTCAGTAAATGTTTACGCACCATCTTCTGGGGGCGAGGTTTGGGGCTCAGCCCTGGGGGTGGAGCTGTGGTCCCTGCCCTCCCCCATTCCTGGCTCCAGGGAAAGGAGGTGCAGTGCTGTGATGCAGGCTCCTTGGGGACCAGGGAGGATGTGCTGGGCAGGTAGAGGAAATGTCAGCCTTGCTGTGTGTGCGTGGGATTTTCTTTTTGTGTTGACCTTTTTATTGTGGTAAAAGGAAACACAACATAAAATTTACCATCTTTATTTTTACTAGTCCTCTTCGGTTGTGTGAGGTATATTCTCATATGAAACAAGTGAAACAGGACTTTTTCATCTTGCAAAACTGAAACTCTATAACCATCCAACAACTCTTTTTCTCCGCCCCTGGTAACCACCATTCTACTTTCTGTCTCTATGAATCTGACTACTCACTTCATGAAAGTGGAATCATGCAGTATTTGTTGTTTGATGACTACCCCTTTCACTCAGTCTATGTCCTCAGAGTCCATCTGTGTTGTACATGTGTCAGAATTTTCTTCCCTTTTAAGGCTTTGCACCGTATAAATTTATACCATGTTTGATCAGTGCATTTGCCCATGGACTCTTGGGTCGCCTTCCCTTTTTGGAGAATGCAAATGGTACTACAGTGCACATGGGCATAGAAATACCTCTCTCGCTACCTTGCCCTCACATATTTTGGCTATATACCCTGAAGTGGGATTGCTGGCTTATAGGGTAGTTCTATTTTTAATTTTTTGAGGAACTCTAACCTGTTCCCTAATAGCAGTTGCACTATTTTACATTCCCACCAGCGGCTGCAAGTGTTCCAGTCCTTAACCTTTGCTAACGCTTGTCATTTTCCGGTTTCTTTTCCTTCTTGGTGCATCCTTCTTTGCTTTCCTGCTGCCTGTCCTAGTAGGTGTCCCGGTGTCTCCCTGTGGGGTAGATTGGGAGTTCCCTAATGGTCAGAGATGTAGGGCACCATTCCGTACGCTAGTTTGTGTCAATCTTTGCAGAAATGGCTGTTTGAGTCCATTACCCATTTTAAGAGCAGATTATTTGATTTTTTTTTTTTTTTGGTGGCTGAATACTCTAAATATTCTAGATATTGACCCCTTTTTAGATACCTGCTCTGTATATCTTTTCTCATATTGCAGAGATGGCTTTTCCACTCTGGGTTCCACCCTTTAATAAACACATGTTTTAAAGTTTGATGTCATTACTCGTATTTATGGTTTTAGTGTCCTATTGTATGTGTTTAATTGAAGTGTAATTCACACCCACAAATTCGCCCTTTAAGGTCTATAATTCAGTGTGGTTGTTAGTATGTGCATGAGGGTGTGCACCATTGACTAGTCCAGAATGTTTTCGTCATCCCAAATGGAAACCCTATATCCACTGAGCAGTCACTTACCATTTCCCCCTTGTCCAAGCTCCTGCCAACCACCAAATGTTTTCTGTCCCTATAGATGTGCTCGTTCTGAATATTTCATTGAAGTGAAATCTGTATTAGCCAGGGCTTCCTAGAGAAACAGAGCCAGTAGATGATATCGTATATCTTGGTCTGTAGCCAACAGCCCCAAAGCCAGGAGCACTAATGTCCGAGGTAGAAGATATCAAGCGTGATCAGAAAATACAGTGAATGTTTAGTTTTTGAAAAGTATTACAGCAGAAGACACGTTGCCATTGCTCCTCAGAATCCTCCCCGTCCCTTTGAACACACTCACCCTATCATCCTTGCCACTTTCTGAAGCGGTCCTGGAAGCCCGCTGTCATGAACGTATTAGTTGTGCTGTCGTGGCTGCCCCAGTGTCTTGAATTGATTCCAAATGTTGACCTTTTATGGTCATTCTGATTTTGGGGAAGGGCCTGGAGTTGCAGGGTGACAGATCTAGCGAATAAGGTGGGTGAGGATACACTGTAATGTCTTCATAGGCCCGCCTTCCTGTTGGATAGCACTTGGCAGCAGAATTCACCATATTTTTTACCATACCTTGTAAAGATGCAGATATCTCAGCTCAGATAAAAAGCAAATTCCCTCTTCCTCTTCCTTTTTGTTCTACATGCAGGCCCCTCAGTGGGGTGGTTGGGCCCCACCGACACTGGGGAGGCTGCATCTTTTCTCCTGCCAATCTCTTCCGGAAACTTCTGCAGAAACACCCCCCAATGTTTAGCAGCTGTCTGGGCGCCCCTTAGCCCGGTCATGTTGACAGATGAGATTGTACAAATGTGGCCTCTTTTCTGCCTTCTTCACCGAGCACGCTGTATCCCGTGTTTGTCTGTATTCCAGGGTTTATCAGTATTTCATTCCTTCTTATGGGTAAGTAATATCCCATTGTATGGGTTGGCAACATTTTGTTGATCCCTTCAGAGCAAGTTGTTTCTGCCTTTTGTTTGGTTCTTACAAATACCATTGCTGGAACACCTGTGTACAGGTTTTTCTCTCTCTCTCTCTCTCTCTCTCTCTC